TTTTTTGGTAAGTTTGCCTAGTGCTTTTTAACATGAAATTTTTAACAATTTTTTTTTTTTTTTTTACTGGGGAAGAAGCTAGGAAGTATTTGTGCTATGTATCGTTGCAGTGGGATTCTGTGTTTCAAAAATACCCAAATAGGCATGTATAGCATGCCTAAACTGCATAAACATTTATTTAAGATGGAATTCGGTTTAGCTACTTCAAGAAGTTTGAATTTTATACCATCCTTAAAAATTATGGTTGGGTTTGCAGACAAGAGTGATGCTCTGTTCTCTTAAAGGAGTGTTTTATTTTCATTCTGGGTGGTGAGAAGAGTTTTTAAAATGTATGAACCTTTACACCTCCTATTGGAAACAAAAAGTATGATTAAGGATATAGTATACTGATTTTGTATAATAGGGCTCTTTATTTTATACCATCTTGCTTAAATAGCAACTAAACAAGAATATAGGGTGGGTTGGTGGGGGTTTTTGTGGCAGCTTCTGTCTTGCTGTAAAGAGGAGCATGGAAAACTATAGTTACTATTTTACATTCCTGAAGTTCTAGTACACAATTTTCTCAGAAATATAATAAACATGAAAACAAGTTTCCTTTTCCCAGAGCTGCCTTTCGACAGAATTAGCTTTTGCCACAAAACCTGCAGATAATACACTGTAAAATTTTGCCACATGTACAAATCGTTCATCAGTGCGCACTTGCTTAGTGCATGACTTACGCTAATGGAATGTAGATGGGCTACTTAGCAGAGTTTACAAGCTACAGAATGGGTTATCCTTCTCTACTGATTTTAAAAAATTCTCTTGTCTTCAGCAGCTTGATAAATACTTTCCTGAACTTCCAAGAATTGTTCATAACTAGGTTTAAATGAGTAACATAATTAACAATTCCAGAAACAGTATGCGTGATGGGAGCCTTGGTCTTGAGATAGCACAAGCTCATCGGAAGTAAGGTTTGGTTGCTTTGTTGCTATTTTTTAATCTGCTTTTAACATGAATATTAAACATTGATAAATATTTAAGACTTTGAAACAGATTACGGGAAAATTGCCTGAGAGGAAGCATGCCAGCAGGAGGACTTTAAGTGTTATATTTATTAAATGCGTTTATAGAATGCGACTTGGAAGTTTTACTTAGCATAAAATTTGGTAAACCCAGATCTTCACATTAATGTTCATGTTATTGGCACTCGTGTTAGTAAACAGAAGCACACTGCATAATCCTTTGACATGTTTTAGGTACATTAGGGCTGTGTTGTAACTTTCATGATAGTGATCATTAGGTAGGTAAATCGCCAGATTTAAAGGGCAGATTTCAGAACTGGATGATGCGTTTGTTTGCTTAAACCTGATGTAGTACAGATCACTCTTCTCAGCCCTGAAGTCAGCTCCCGCCACTGCCCCCCCAAAAAAATCTTAGTTGTCATCTTGCCTTTCCCACTGGAGAAATATTAACCAGTGCAGGGTGCAGAAGAGACCGACGTGGGTCTCTGACTTGCTGTCCTTTGCAAGTCGTTTGTCCTACTTCCCTCTGCGGAGGCTCTCTGATTCAGAAGCACTGCAGCACTAGGATTGATGTATATTCTTGCACAGCTCCAAAAAAGTCGAGTCCTCCACTGGGTAAGTCATGTAAAAAAAACTGGTTTTGGCGTGCGTTTCTCGGAAGAGACTTTCCCATTCATAATCGGCGAGTGTTTTGCTTGTCAGTGTGGAGACACATCCGATGCCTTCGGGCGCGGTGCGTTTCAGGGGATTAGAAGATGGGCTCCTCTTCTACCTGCTGGAGACAACGCTCTTCAAGGAGACTCTGCAGACGGGCTGACCTTTTAACAGTATTCCTTGTCTTAGTGGGAATGCCAGCCAGGAAAAACTGGTTTGATGTCTCCTGGATGTCACTGTTATCAGTTTAATAGCTAAAAGAGGCTGTCTTGAGCAGCCACATCATATTTATAACTGCCTTACTCAGCTGTTGCAGAAGAGAAAGCCCTTTAACTAGGACACAGACCGAGGAGCTGCTGCACAGCCATGCAAGCCGCCTGCGGGCCAGCAGCTACACAGGTTACGTTCTGCGGGATAGGGGTCCTCACGCATGTGGGGCTTTCAGAGTCAACAAACTAGTCACCCCAATATATCGCTTCCTGACTTAAAAATAATTTTTTTAATCGACTTTTTTATTTAAAACCTTTGTACTTCGCATCTCATGGACTTCAGATTAATCTTAGTAAATTTTCTCCTTTGCTTTTAAATTTTGTTTGTAGTAACACAACATAAAAATTATGATTAGGTCATTAACCAGAAAAAAACCTGGCGCTCATCTGCAGGTGATCAGATGACATCAGAGGCCTGGTTTTAATTTGTGGGTAGTTCTGATTGTAACTAAAAGAGACTTGCTCCTTTTGTGGAATTGGCTGGCTATTTCCCCACATCTGGAGTTAATGAAGTCTTTGAGACCACATCAGTTGTGTTTTGCCGCAAGAACCCTTTGATCTGAAAAATCTAGACTGGCACAAGTGCAGCTTCATAACATTGCAGCTATGTTTTTGCAAGCTATAGTTAAGATACCAAAACAAGCAGAAACTATATAAAGTTATGTGTCTGTGCTAGGACTTTCATGTAGCTGTTTGGAAGGGCCTCTTTTACATTAATATAATTCATAACATTTTTATTATGTTAATGGCTTGTACATATGTATCTGTAAATGATACGTTTGTAGGAGTTTTTCAGTTTAATTTCCCTTTTGAGATAGTGTTTAATCAGTTTTTATAAATCACCTAATTATGTAAAATCGAAGCTTGTATTTACAAATCTTATTGATAACATTACTGTTTAAAAGAAGTATAATTCGTCATTGTAGGTGATTTCGCATTAATCAGGGTATATCTCCATGGCAGTGCTAAATGTCATAAAGCTTTGTTTCCACTGCTGTCCTGTGACAGTGATAGATTATCCGTCAGCTATAGCATATGCTGCGTTATTCTGCACAACAGAGAACTTGTAAATTAAGCCCGGTTTTGCCTAATATGTTTGCAGTCTTACGAGTGTGAGTATTTACAATTTGACAGAGTGACATTTCTGTTAAAATATGTCTGAGGCATGGAATATACATGCGTTCATCATATATAGTAAATACATATGTACTGTTAACATAGCTTATAACGTATTGTCATTCTGTCAGTCAGGTTTGGTAAGCATCTCTATTTTACATTTATTCCATAAATTGAAAATCTGCAAGTAAAATATTGAACAGAAGCTCCCGGAAAGGCTTTCTTTCCTAGAATTTTTTTCCTGTATTTTGATTTTAAAAAAAATGTGAAAAGAAGCATGCAACTAGAAGTCCTAAGTTTTCCAGTTGACTCCTTTTTATCAGGTGTCTCTTTACCGGCTGCCGTTTTCATTGCATGGCTGGTATCAACAGCTACGCCCTGGCTGCATTCCCTGTGCCCCTGTCCCGATTCCATCATGCTGTAGTTTGATGGATTTTACTGCAATTCTGTTGAGGTAAAAGCAGCGTAAGAGAGCGGTCGGTAGCCGGTCCCTGCGCGGTGGAGCGCTGGCTGCGGGCACATGCCCAGCCATTTGGCCTGAGAATAGCAGGCTGGAAAAGCAGTGGGGAGGGGGGGGGTATTGGGATGCAAATAGAGCGGGGCTTGCCCACTCGCTTTCTAAATACCCGTGTCGGAACAGTCACCCTCCGGGAGAACAATGGAGCTCTTTTAGGGAACTTAAGCTTTTTTCGCGGCCGGCTTGGTTTTCCTGGCCCTTCTCTTGCTTGGTAAACAACATCGCAGAAAGACAAGGGAGAGATGGGAATGTTGTAGAAACATGCGTGTGCCTCTGTTTGCATAGGAAGGGATGAAATATTAACTTCTGAATTTCAGGGCGTAGTGTGCTTTTTAAGTTGCATTATGTAAGCTTTAAAGTTTTAAAACTATTCTTAATATATGCATTTATGAAGGTTTCTGTATTTACAAGTAAGGTGAACAATTGAAAAATAAAAATAACATATTTTTTACTTTGTAGCCAAAAGGTGCTCTGGTTTCACTGTTACATTTCGATATTCTTTGCTGCCGTAGTTGTTAATTTGCTCTTTTTTTTTTAGATTTTTCTTTATCATACACTAGTCATGTTGCAATATTCAATATATTGATCAAAATACTGTTGTGAAGAAACAGCATTGCTTAGAACGGCTAATGTTATGGGTAGAGTCCTTGAGTTTGTGAATGCTGGCTTCGTTGATATGACTTACTTATTCCTGAAAATGCTTTATATTTCTTCTTAGAGTCACTGCAGTGAAAGACTTCTAATCATTGTGTTTGTTTGGCATTTTACCATTTTTAACTTGTTAATAAAATTTGTTGCTTTGAGAATGGTTGTTCCAGTGTGGTGTTGCACTGAAAAAAAAATGATGCTGATTTTCTTTATTGCTAGGCCAGTGGGAAAATAATTTACTCAATGTTGCAGTTTTAAGATTATTCCTCGGGACTTATGTTATATATATTTTTGATGACTGTACAAAGGTGTGCAAGTTTCTGAATGGATGATACAATGGTTGCATTAAAATCTTTGCATTTGTCACTGGATGTTCTTTTGCTCTCTGATTGTTGGGATGCCAGCTAATTAAATATTCACACAGGCGTACAGTTGTTTTAAAATAAAATTTGTTTGGGGCCCAGTTGTTTTATCTTGCTTTTTTTATCTCGAGCAACAAGTCTGTGCGAGTCATGCACTTCGAAAGCAAAATCAGCATTCAAGCTTTTATCAGGCCACCTGGCTGAGTTGGCACACCAGAAAGTGTGTTGTTAGGATCATTCTACTGTAGTTCCTCTGTACTGTGGCAACTTGCTAAAAAGCAAATAAAACAAGGGCAACAAATGCTGCCGCTTGCTACACTGTTCTTTTTTTTAGTTGTGCTTTCTATCTGTGTCTGCATGCTGTTACGGGTTTTTTAATGCATGACACCCAAGTATTACTAACCTGCTTTTATTGCTCTCCAATATTTAGGTGTATGCGCCATCCCCAAGTTCTGATGATTTCAACAGAGAATCTCCAAGTTACCCGTCTCCTAAGCCACCAAGCAGTATGTTTGCTAGCACTTTCTTTATGCAAGGTGGGTAAAATGACTTTAAATATATGGGTAGGCGTCACTTGTCCTTTAGGCAGAAATCTGCAGTCAGCCACTGTTGTACTGAATGAATGAGGAAGTGTAAAGGTAACATGTTGTGCTAGAGCCTCTGATTAAGTTCTATATACTTTTAAAACAGTTAGATGAAGGGAGCTGTCTGTTGATTTAAAGTTTTTCTGGTGACATTAATTGCTGACTGAAATTTAAGGGGATTATACACCAGGCCAGATGGACAGAATCCCCCATCCTTTGATTTGTAGGGGCTTCAGAGCAGCACACTGGAGTGATAGAGAAAAATGAGGTGAGGGCTTCTTGACTGTTCTGGAATTTGACTGTACAATATCAGCTAACAGTCTTAAGTTCTCAAACGCCTGTATATCCAGCATGCCAAAAAAAAAAAAAAGGGTTTTGCATTGAACAAAATGAGAGCAGAATTCATTTCCTCAGCCTCACGTCATAACAATTAGCTGGTACTGTAGTCTGATGAGGTTTTGGAGCATATTGAAAGCATAGTCTTCTCAGTATGGGAGTGTACAGAGCACTTCAGTTTGTGCTACAGAAGGAAAACTACGTTGACACACAGGTTTAAGGCTTATATAACATTGTCATTTCAGCTACTTAAATCTGCTATTATGAAATGGTTTTGTATTTTTATGGTGCTAAGGTATTTTAGACTATAAATGGCTTATTTTAGGTTAGTAGCTGTTTTGCACTGTGTGCTTATGATGAGCCAAATGTCTCTCCCCTCCGCCCCCTTTTTTATTATTTCTTTCAGTCTGGAATTTTTATCAACCTGCTTGATATAAATCTGGCCTTACTGAAGGTCTGTGTAATTAGCAGAAGTACTTGGTATTTTCTCAGCTGTGGTTGGATTGTATTTCAGCTATAAAGCCTCTGTTGGTTTTTTGTTTTTTTAATAAATATAGCAACAGTGTGGTGGCATGAAAATAGAAGACGCAGTATAAACTGGTCACCATTTTCCTGCTGCTGTTAGAGTAGCTGAATTCTATATTCTTGTTAAACAATTTTGTAAAGGAAATTAGAACTCGGTACTATTCTTCATTAAATGTATTTTTCTTGTTTTCTTTTTCATTAAAAAAATAAAAAAAGATGGGACCCACAATTCTTCTGACCTCTGGAGTTCATCCAATGGCATGAGCCAGCCTGGCTATGGTGGGATGCTGGGAGGCTCATCTTCACACATGTCCCAGTCTGGCAGTTATGGCAGTCTGCACACACATGACCGTTTGGTAAGATACACAGCACAGATTAATGTATGTGTATGTATACTCATATCTGGAGGTACGACTTACGAGAATGCATTTCTTGTTTGCTGCTCATGTATGTCAGTTAAAACCCACTTGTCAGAAATCACAAGCTTACTGTACTAGATTTATGTCCTTCTATATCTGTTGTATAAATAAAAATCTGTGGCTGTATATTGGTCTGTTCAGAGGATGGATGAGTCCCTTTCTTTAAGAAAGGGCTGTGTTGTGTATTTGGTATCAAAATATCAACATTTATTTAAAGACTGCTTAATGTCTTATGTCTGCTTCTCTTCTCTCTAGAGCTATCCCCCACATTCAGTCTCACCTACAGATATAAATGCCAGTCTTCCTCCGATGTCTAGCTTCCATCGTGGCAGTACCAGCAGTTCACCTTATGTAGCTGCCTCACACACTCCACCTGTCAATGGATCAGATAATATTCTGGGTAAAAAGTTCTTCCCGCTTTTTTTTTTATTTATTTTACAAGAAAATGAACTCTAGGGCTGCATGACACACAAAACTTATTTTTGACGCACAAGATTTAATTTATGGGATGCTTGTAGATCAGGGGTACCACACCACTGTGACATTTCAGTCCTCAGTATGGCTGAGATATGAGGCAAATTGTTCTGCGGTCAGCTTAAGACTTACTGGTTTATTTGCTTTCACAGCCAAGCCTATACTCAGGAGCTTGTATCCCTCTAACCTAATGGCAGTTATCCTTCCACAGTTCAGTATATGTGCACATTTATATAGGTAGTTCTGGTGTTGCAGTTTTCAGAGCTGCTAGATCACCGAGGTACTGTGCAGGAGAAAGGCAGGAAGACTGTTTCTTTGGGGAGCCTGATAAACTGCATCGTAAATTCCTCTCTTAACTGATTTAGAGATTACTGAGTAGCCAGTGTGGTGGCTGGTTTAGTCTCTTCCATGTGTATCTAGAAAGCATGAAATACAGGATGATCGTCAGCTCCTTTCATGTATTTGCACATCTTAAGATACCACCATAGAAATTAAATGTTTGTAGATGCCCCTTGTCAGTTTGATGTGATTTGCACTTAACTTCAGTTTAAGTAAGTGGAATTTAGTTAGAGTGACTAGATTGGCTTTAGTTTGAGAACATGTTATACAATCAGAGCTTTAAACAGAACCTAGTTAATAAATCTGCATGGGAAATGCAGGCTGGAGAATCCAAGTTTGCCACAAACTTGAAACAGCGAGTGTTGCATGATTTGGATTTCTGATGTGAGTGGCTGACATTGACATTAAATACAATTCTGTGACATTACAAGTTGATAACTGGAGAAAGGGGATTCACTTTTATTAGGGGGGCTTGTCTCCTACAGTAAAGCAGATATTTCAGAAGATTCAGGTCCTTTCTGTGTTTCCAATTGGCAGGGCTTCAGACCTTCTCTTGGCATGATGGTGTGTGGAGCAAAAGGGCATGCAAAGCTGCTGACGTGCAACTGAGAGCAGGGGTGACAGAAAACTTGGTGGATAAGAGCTTTTCAGGGATTTTCCAAAATAAAGATGAGAGTACAACACAGGGAATTAGAGCTGGGGGAGCAAGGAGACACATAAGGAGCTTTTCAGTGGATTTGGCTTTAAGAATTAATGAAACATGTAGCACCTTAGTGATAACAGTTTAGAAATCAGCTACAATAATACCACTTTCTGATTTTTTTTCTTTTCATGGTTCATTAAAATTAGCCTGTGATCCTAGAAAATAATTTCAGTAGTTTTTTTCTAACTACTTTTACTTGTTGGTTCTTAAGTTATCACAGTGATACTGTGTTTGACTTTAAAGAGGAGAGCATCTAAATTTATATCTAATTGTTTTAATTAAATTTTTAAGTATAATGAGAACTGATTCTGTTGACACTGACTTCCTCAGAATATCCGTTTAAAAAGTGATTGCTCAACTGTACGTGATAAATAAAATAATAAAAGTAAATAAAATTTCAGCTTTAAAAATAAGTGTTGGGTTTGCTTTCCACATTACAGGAAACAGAGGAAATGCTGCTGGAAGCTCACAGACAGGTGATGCGCTTGGAAAGGCACTGGCATCTGTAAGTAGCAGTTAGAATGTTCAGATCTGAAAGACGTATTTTGATCATTGCATCCATATTTATGTGTTCATTTTATAATATCAAATCAGGAGTTTTCATATATGAACTTAAAATAATATACTATGATACAATGTCATACACTAGACAAACGTCTGTAGAAAAGCAAGTGGAATATGCTTTTATTTGTACAAGACTCGTTCTGACTTCCTTTTTTTCAGGTGATGGAAAAATTTAGGGCAGATGCAGTTTAGAAAGTTGTTTAGACAACGTGAAAGATAATCATAAAAACTTTAGGGTTTGTGTTTTTTTTTCTATAGCTTTCTGGTTAAAGTAAAATATTTTTAACATTACTCTTAGAGCAGATCCTGCCTCAAGGTTTAAAATGTTTTCTCAGTGGCCTTGTAAAAATGAGAGGTTTTGAATGCTGTGTTGTATAGCTACAAGTTATGGAACAGCCTTCAAAATGCTGTATGTGCATAAAGTTAATTGTTAACTCTTACTGGAATAACATAGATAATGTTAAACATTGCAAGTGTCTTCAGTCCACTAAAAGCTCTGTTTACATATGCATGCATACAGTAATTGTTTTTGCATTAATACAATCAGATGTACTTTTTATAAAACAGTAATTGATAAAGTTTAGCAGAAATTTCAGAGTTAGGAATGGTGGCTGGGGGACCACTTTGTATTTCTTGTGTGTAGCAAATAGGGGGTGACTAAGTCTGATTTAAAAGATAGCAATAACTACTTTGCAGCCCCCAAAAAGACCATTCCTGAGTTGGGTTCTGCATCCTTCACCTCATACCAGTGAATGCAAATGTGCATATTCATGCAGATCCTGTTACCCTTGCATCCTTCAGAGGGTCATATGTTAAAAGATTACCAGATCTGATAATGTCTGTAATGTCCATATTGGGTAGGAGAACTCTGACCTACTGGCTTTGAGGAGAAAAATGTTGTCCCTTTTGCTTTTGGGGATTCAGCAAGCAGATAACAATTCACGAGTCCAGAGGGCAGTTAACACCCTCTTTTTGTCTGTTTGAGACCTGTCAGAAAAGAACTGGGAACATTTTGACTGCTAGAAATAGCAATGCTTGCTTACTTCAGGCTGTTCGTTACTCTGCAGATGTATTAGGATGTCTGCCCTTCTGCAGCCTGACCACAATTTCTGTTGTTAAGTTTGACACGCTGGCCAGTTAGACCTGTGGGACTTCATGATGTTTTCCACTGCTCTCCTTTTTTACATTATTTTCTCATCCTTTCAGGTATTTTTGCCCAAATCACTAGCTGAGAAAACCAGGCTGATGTTTTGAGGAAAAACTCTAAATGTATTGCGAGTGGAAGTCAGGGCAGAAATGTTTAATCTAACTGGTGGGTGGGCTCTGGTTGTCATAGAAACTTGTTTCTGTCATCCCGTGTTGTTGCTTGGCAGGAGCAGCCAGGTCATTCCATAAATCATTTCTGTCATAGCTGATGGTGATGCATTCCATCTGCTCTATCAGTGCATGCCATAGTCTGCACACTTCAAATCCCTCGCCTCATCCATCTGCTTCCCCCGCACCCCGCAACACACACGCACCCAGCACACTCCTTGCGCTTGTTCGGCCAGGAGCTCCGCTCACGGAGAGAGGTGGTCTCTCCTGCAGGTGAAGCTAGCACGTGTGAATTTTGATGGCTAGTAAACCAGGAATATTTTTCTGTTTGAACAAACTTTTATTTAAATACTGTAATTGTCTTGACTCTTCTTCCCCCCCCCCCACCGAAGACGCTCTATGCCTTTCTGTTAGGTTTTTAAAAGCTACCACTGCAACTGTTGAGAGGAATTTCTAGTTCTAAAATTCTGTTGATGTACATCTCACAATAGCCCTTTCATGTGTGAAACATCAGAGGATACGACATTTGTTCTTCAGTTTAGGTATTAAAGACCATACAGAATAGTATGTGATTAAACATGTAAGGCCAGATAATACATTTGCAAAGGTTCTTTTATTTTAGGTTTAAGCCTGGATAATTGTGGTCTTAATCTCAGGGTAGGCAAGAAAGAGAATTGTACATGAAAGTATTTACACAAAGTTCCCAAAGCCCTGTGGATTATGCATTAGTTTGGATAATGAACTAGTATAGATAGAAAGAAAAGAAAATCTGGGTATTCGTGCCATTTCTAATGTGTTTCCCTGAACATTTGCCAAACAATAACCCTTTAAGATTGTGCCCATGGAGGGTTATATGGCAGGAGAAACATCTGGTTTATTTCATTGCCTAATGCCAAATCAAAACACTTGGTCTTTAATTTAGAAGAGATCAAACACTAGGACTGTTTAACTTTGTTGATTATATCAGACCTCTTTGTGATAACTTATGTTTTGATTCCTACCTCAGAACTAGGGTAAAGGCCTTTGTACCGACTCGGTAGTTAAATAGCCACTGGTCCCCTCACAAAAGAAAAGAAAATGTAGGGAAGTTGACTTCTAAAAGTAATTCATGAATTAAGTTTCTTTGTTGCTTTAGACTCAATAACATTAGCATAACAAAGCCTAACTGAAATGTACACTGTAGTGTTTAAAAAATTGGACTAACAGCTCCGAGGTTTGGCTCTGCAGGCTCTCAATTGTGCAGCTTTTGTCTAAGAGCCTTTTCATTAGACCCTGGCATATTGGCACCCTGCTGATTGGAATGGACCATGACTGATAGGAGGAGGAGTCTCATTTGTTGCAGTAAAATGAGTCATGTTACCGTTTAAGTCTGGCAGAAGGTGTCAGGGTTGTTCATCATTGGTCATTTAACAGCACAGCGGCCAGGGACTGCATGCAGAATGAATTCTGACCTCGTCTTTTAGTTGTGGCTTCGGTATAATGGAGATTTTCCCTTTTTATAAAATACAGCAAAATAAAATCGCCAGGTAGAGCAGCGGAAAACAACCAGTTTCAAAGGAAATGTCATGGCCTTTGCTCTTACATCATTTTAATTTTCTGTATCTTATCTGTCTGGAACTCTCTACTGGCACCCAAGATTTATTTTTGTACTGATGTCCAACGCATGAATTTCCTACAATGGTCTGAGGTAGTTTGTTCTTTTAAATGTATTTTCTTCCTAGTATGTATGAAAAGGAGGAGGTATTTCCGTTAGGGAACTGATGGTCTTTTCTAATGAAGAAGTATGATAGACCAGGAAGGAGCATGCGTTCTATCAGGTCCTGGTTTTGTCAGTTCAAAAAGTACAATATGCAACTTAACCAAGTCCCAGTTTATTGTCAGCTAAATGCTGAAATGTCATATTGTCTGTGTGAAGAGACGTCAGCCACACTGCCAGTGAAGATTTTTTTAACTGCCATCTGATGACTAACAAATCCTGCTCTCTGCTCAAGTAAAACAAGTTTGAACTGATGATCTGTAAAAATGTGTTCTGAAGTCCATAATCAGCCTCTAAACCTATTCACTTCCCTTCACAAAAGGAATTTTCTAAGAATCTCGACATTTTAAATTTTAATTAAAGCTTTACGTATTATGCCTTCTGTTTTTGTCAAGACTTTTAATTACATTAATAGCAAGGTATGAATTGTTGCAAGTTGAGGGTTAGTATCTTAAGGGAGCAACTGATGTAGAAATAAGAGAGAAAAAATCGTATGTGCTGCAATACATAGCAAGGGAAACAAAATTTCATATGATTTTTGTTTGGTAGGTACCAACAGTAACTAGAGCTGAATGCTTTCTTGTATTTTCGCTGGTGAAGGATTAATTTTTAGAAGATAACATGTTGACTGCTAAAATCTTTTCCCTCTCTGAAGTTTGGAAAGTCATTATTCCTCTGCTTTTTCCTGGTGTTTTGTTTGTTACAATTATCTGTGTACTGTTAACTCGTATGTATATCGTTCCCAGTCAATGATAAAAAGGCTGTAATTTCTGTTGCTGTTAAAGTAGAAGGAAGATCAGTTATACTTGTGTCGCTATCAAATACAGGCTGTGCTTATTTTGACAGCTGCTTGAAAATGAAAGTTCTCTGGACATTTTTAGAGCCTTGAGTGTAATAAAGCAGAGCAGTGATTGAAGGATCAAATCATTTTTTTAAACAATCCAGCAGCAAGAGTGACAATTAAAAGCATGAAAAGGAATCCTAATAGCTATTTTTGTATTATGACATGTATTGATATGCAATCTCTTTCGTCTGTTGTTAGATTTATTCTCCTGATCATACCAGCAGTAGTTTTCCATCGAATCCATCAACACCAGTTGGATCACCATCGCCTCTTACAGGTAGAGACTAGCCCTTTGTCAATAACTCGTATGTTATTTTGAAAACATCCTGTTTGGAATCACAGTGAAATCAGCAGTAGCTTCCTTGCATAATAACTTCTGTATTTTTGTTTATTTTTCCATTGTACTAAACCCAGATCTATAAGTCCAGATTCTTAAATATTTTGTTTATGAGCATTCACTTAAATCCTGCCAACTGGCTTTGAAAAGTAGCTTTTTAAAATAGCCTTTGAAAACATTGAATGACCATATAGTGTCACAGCAATAAAAGATACCTGTGCAGATCTGTACCATAGGAGAAGAAATAAAAGAGATTTGGTTAGGTGTTTTTTTTTCCTAAAACTGCATGTTAAAACTCCGCGGCGGCTTTCAGTGACAAACACAGCAGATATGTGTTTCCTCTAATGAAAATATAGTAGGCTATGAGACTATCCAATTTTTACACAGGATAGCTTTTCATTCATATCTTTCATGAATGCTTTCATTCTATGGGAGAAGAATTTCTGGCATTTTTCAAAATAAATGCTCTGTATTGCAGCCACCTCTGTCACCTGTGCTTTGTGTGTTTGTAGTGTGAATGTGGGAAGAAGCATTCCAGCGTGGAGATGAACTGTGGGCAGCTGCCTACAGCTATTAGTGGGTAGCGCAGCTTTCACAGACACTGTGGCCTCAGCTGTCTAGTAAAAGTTGAACAGCTGTTCTCCATATAGAGGGAACTGTGAAAGCTCCATTGACTTAAATTTGTTGTTTAACAAAGAACTAGAATTACAAGCAAGATGATGTAACGTTAACCCTGTTCTTTCCTATAGTGCAATTTGTTAAATTATTTAACGTTTATACAACAGTCTGTTTTCCTGTTCTCTGTTGTTTAATATATCCTTGCAGGCTCCTCGCCATTGGTCACTCTTTTGCAATAGCATTCTGCTTTTTATCAAAAAAAAAAATTAACTTATAGTGAAAGGTGTAGAGAATGAGCTCATCTGAAGACTTTTGTAATCTAAATGAATAAATTAGTAATATCATTGCATGCAAAATGCAGTCATATACATATGTGTGTGAATATGCATATGTCTATATGCCATGTCACTCAGAAAACTTTCGTCGTTCATACTGCGCTCTTGTTTAATGGACACTGTTCTGGTTTTCTGTGGACTTAATGGATTACTGAATATCTGACATGGCATACCTGAGCAGCTGCTTTGGGCATTTTTTCTCTATAACTGAAAAAAACATGTTGAACTGAGTAATGCTGGGATTGATGGGATTTTTTATTTGGTGATTAGAGTTGACAAAAAATGTTTTGTGTATCCTTGTTCTACTGAAAAGGCAGATCAGACCAGAAAATTATTATTATTTTCTTTTTGACCTCAAAACAAATACTGAAAAGAACTCTGTGGCTGGAAGAAAGAAGTTCTGATGTTTCAAAGTGTTTAAAATTGTAAAGATCCCAACTGGAGTTCCCTGATTAAATACCACACCTAATTTTGTAGGCATGAAAGTGCTAGCTAATTTCTCATTTTAGAATATAAACTTGAGGTCCCCAAAATTTGGGTTTTCCCTTTGCTGTTGATGCCTTTGTCTGCTGGAACCTGTATCAAATGTAAAACTCTCCAAAATTTGCACTTTGATTTGTGTTCCTTATTCTGGATTCTGATGACTAAGACAGTAGTAGATACAAGCAAATAATATTGAAATCCTTCTCAGGCGCAAACTTAGCATCTGCTTTACAATTATACCCTCCCACCCCACCCCCTTTAATTCCAGTGATACAGAATTTATCAAGCCTTTGGTAAATTGCTCCAGTAGTTAATTACCTTCATTTATGAATCTGGACTTTTATCTTTATTCCCAGATGAGTCACTAAGAACACAGTGAAGCACAATGTAAAGTAATTACTACTATATTTATTGCTATTTATACTCCCGGTAGCCATTTTCTGTCCTGACCCAAAAAGTTATTGCAGATAAAACAAATGTTTTATGTATAATAAAATAATGTGTTTTGGAGCATTTTAGCCTTCATCATGATTTTCCTCTTTTGCTGTTAGTTCTTTGTTTATTTAGCATTTTTAGTATTGTAGGTTCAACTAAGTCATAATTTACCTATCCTTTAACTGTAAATTACAGTAGGAGCGCTCCATTTGCCATTTAAAGCATTGAGAAATAGTAACTTCATCAATGCTTAAGTATACAAGCTCATGTTTGACTATTTGGCTGTTATGTTACTGAATAAGGAATAATGACTTTTTTTTAATTATTAATTTAAGAACAAGCTTTGAGAACAACATGGTGAAAAATCCCGAGTATTGAGACAATAGCGTGTGTCTGGTCTTCCCTGCCCTCGTTTAATTTCTAATTTTACATAAACTTGGCCAGAGCTTAGCTTCTTGCATAGTTTTAATGATTGTGTGTACGTATGTGAAGTTTATATACGGATCTGAATGGTGGGAGATCCTTGGTATTTTAAGAATCCTTCTCCCGGGATCAGCGGTATTTGGAAGGGTTCGGTGGGTTCTGAGGATGCAAACCCAGCCTCTGATGAGGGGGATTAGTGCTGGGGAGGCTGAGAGTAGGAACAATACCACAGTGATTGCTATCGATGACCCCTGTAAATCCCAACACTTGCCTGGCTTATTTGTTTTTTCATGCTGCTATGTTGGTGCTGCACTAAAAGCTGCAGTTGTTAATTGCAGGGCTTGTGGTGCCAGGATGCTTTTTAACATAATTGGTGGATTTCATGCACAAACTTCTAGGAGGGGGAGTGGAATGAGGAAAGCAGGAAATCGGTGCCATCTGGCAACCTGCGCAGACATGGAGACGGAATATGCCGCCGCTCAGAAAGAGCACGAGCAGTACTAGAGGCGTGATTAAAAACTGCAGGTTGCAGTTGGGTTGTTCGCTGGAGAGGAGGAGTTGAGTATTCCCTCCCCCCTTTTCTTATTGTTTCTTTTGTGAGAAGTCCCACTCAGAGTTTTGTTCTGGACTTACATTAAGGAAATAGTACCTTCTTCCGTTAAAAAATAAAACCGCACACAAAAATTCATTGGACTAGACACACGGGTGTTGAATCTCTTTGCTTTCTTTTCTTAACTGGTTGCCTTTCTGCTTAATATTCAGGTGATGCTTTGTTGTAGGAAGTAGCACACTCAATCCTGTTAGTAGTGAGCACTCATTAAAGCCTTGACTATGGTCTTGTCTCTAAAAATGGAGTTTTGACCAGATGAAAAATTGAACATTATGCTGAACCAAAATACTCTAAAGTTGTTTCATTAATGCTTTGCAAAAATAAGTAGGACTCCAAGCATTATTCCCAAGTTCAGGAATCATAGTAATGCAGAGGGAGACTACAGATCCAGACCCAGAGTAGCTGTGTGAAGTGAAAATTGGTAATTATAAACTTAGTCACTGAAGTCGTTATATTTTAAAAGAGAATTCCAGCACAGTTATGGCAGCTCTGGGCTCTTACGAAATTGGAGATGGTTTATTTTTTTTTTAATTAGAAGGGAAATATTTAGGTATTTTAATAGCTGTGCAGGCTGTACTCTTTTTGTTAAATAAAACCCTTTCTTTGCAAGGTAACTACTTGCAGCTCTCTGAACAAAGGAACTGTAATGTTATTAAACCTTTTCCCAGTTTTCCAGACGTACAGCTCTGGCTGTTATTGAAAGAACAAGCCCACAGGCTCTTCCTTTAATGAGCTGCTTTGGATTGTATGTCCATAATTTATTAATGTAATTGCTTTATTATTACATTTGTATGGCTGAAAGGAAGCTGTCTCTAATGGACATAGAATTTCATGTAGTATCTTTATAAAAGATGCATTATTAGTTGGTGAGAAAAATACATGTTGTGCTACTTCAGGCTTTGTTTTAAAAGTACTGCTTTATTAGTTACTACATTTCACATCTAATTATTTCTAAATTTTACATGGTAATTAGGTACATTTATGTCAGATTAGAATGGATATGCATTTGAATTTGCAGTGTATGGGTAATACGGATATAATTGTCGATTTGTTGCACAGTCAGTGATTCTTTAGCTTCCAATTTACCTTAAATATATCTGAAATAACAAATGGGAATAACTTAGGTGTATTTTTACTCTTCTAAACTTGGAGTGCATTGTAATCTAAAATGGTGTAGTGTAGAACTAGGCAAGATAAAGCATTTAGATGTAGTTTTAAGTCTTATTTAGTAGAGGCGTCATAAAAATGGTTTTCCAGGTACCTTTAATTTGGTGTCTATTTGATTTCTTTTAAATACTTTTGGTTTATATTTTAACATTATTAAAGATATGCCTACATATACTGAACATAATCTGAAGAAGAAAGAATTCAGCAATCGTTTTATGGTGATACTGGCAGAAGGCAGGTATTTCAGATACAGTGTGCGTGTATGTGTTTAGTCCACTTCTTTTAATGTTGAAGTACTTTGAAGATATCACTGCTTTGTCATCGATAAAGTGTCTAACCCTACAGATGCCACGATATTAAAATCATCCCTCAGTAAGGCAGAACGAAGGAATTTGTCCCCTTTGTATGCCCATATGTTGGCTTACCTTTATGCAGAATGTGTTGGGTTTAATTACGTTGAGAAATACTGCGTCTCTGCTTTCCCCTTACGCTGCTTGAATCTGTGTGTTAACCTAGACCATTTTGACAGGTGCCAGTCAGTGGTCTAGGAGCGGAGGACAAGCCCCCTCATCTCCAAACTATGAAAACTCTCTACACTCCTTGGTAAGAATTGTTGAAAGCAACATAGTACTTTTTACTTACGAGTTGAAGGCTTGGTTTTGTATAAATCCTGCATATCATTAAAGGAAACAGTAGGATAGCATTACAAATGAATTCTTTGCTAACAAATGGCCTGTTCAGTTGAACAATATAAGACGGGCAGGGTGTGTCTTTCACCATCTGTTCCTTGGGCATCAGGCTTCTGTGCTGAGGACAGCTGGTGCTAAAGCGCTGTTATGAGATTCTGGTACCTTTTCACAAATCCATGGCTAATTCTTATCTAAAGTTCAGTCTGGAGAAAAGATAAAGACTTCATGCCTTCGCATTTACTGGTCCTTCCCCCTCTCTCCCTGAAATGGTAGTCTTTTGGGCTTGTTTTCATTACACACTCATTTAAGTATTCGTGTATTTTATGTGCAATTATTATTTGGTTTTGGGGAATGTTCATTCATTAATTAATGAAACATTTTACAGAAAAACAGGAAATATTCTACAGCACTGTAAATTTTCTTGTTTTGAAGATTCAGCAGAGGGTTTAAGTTACTGACTTCTATCTTGAATTTGTGGTACAGCATCGGGAAGGAAGGATAGGGGAATTTGAGGGAAGGTTTTGATAACCTGTTAGTATTTCTGGTTTCCACAGATGTAGTTTCTTTTTTTTCTGTCTAACAAGAATAAATTTAAGCTAAATCATTTTTCTTTTCTTCAGTATTTTTGCAATTAAATAGAATTGATATATACATCTTAGAATCCTAACATAACTGCAATGTTAAATATTAGCCTTTTCTTACCTTAATACAATCAGATCTCTGTTGCATTAACTTGACTAACAGTTTATTGCTGACATGCACATCAGCTGTTTCCTCACCTCTTTTTTGAATTAATCTTAACCTGTGCTTTGCTTCCTGTTCTGTCTTGACTTTGCCAGAAAAATCGAGTTGAACAGCAACTTCACGAGCATTTGCAAGATGCAATGTCCTTCTTAAAGGATGTCTGTGAGGTACTATTTCACTTTAGATGGTGCCTTTTTGTGTTTCAATTAATGCTTCCTTCGGATTCCCCATTAAAAACTTAAATTAGCATAGTGTATGACCCATCTTTTGACTCCAACATTCTGCTATTTCAGTTTCTAGAGAGCTGCAATGTCAGAATTGGTTTTGCTTTGGGGTTGTTTTTTAAGGAAAGTAATTTTAAGACAGACTTTTCTGCAGTAACGTACAGAACTCGCTTTTATTTCTGAAATATCTAATCTGTTTGAAGATCCATTTTAGAAAATGATAACTTAAAGTTTTGTCCAGTTTTTTTGTAATACAGGTTCTCAAAAAGCCACTGCCTCTCTTAATTGTTACCATCGTGGTGAGGCTGATTTTATGGTCATTCTTTCTCGTCCTGTATTAGAGAGCTTATTTGGTAGCACTTCCTTTTTTTCTTGTTCATGCCATGTAATAGAAGCTAAGTAACATTAACCTTACAATAAGCTTCACTTTAAAAACTGCCACCTATTTGTGGAATGAATGCTATCTCGAGCAAAATCTCCAGATATCTTTTCTTTTTCCTGTTTGTTTGTAGTGCTGGTAGGTGCTTTCAAAGTCTTTGATACTGCATTTCATCTTCTGTCTGTAATATCTCCAAGGTAGAAACTGTTATGGTATAACGAGGCTGCAGATTTATTCAGTGGTGGCTGTCACTATCCCTCTTCAATCCCAACAGCAGTCTCGAATGGAGGATCGCTTGGACAGACTCGATGATGCCATTCATGTACTACGAAATCATGCTGTGGGGCCTTCAACAAGCCTATCGGGTGGCCATGGAGATATACATAGTTTATTGGGACCATCCCACAACGGGCCAATTGGAAGCCTGAACTCAAATTATGGAGCGTCTAGCCTTGTAACAACCAACAGACAAGCATCAATGGTAATCATATTTTTAAACATGTATATATATTTATGCAAAGCAATTACAGCTGATGCGTTTAATTTATTGTAGAGCCTAGTGAGTTAAAACGGGACTGTAAGATTCGTATTTGTCAGGAAGAAACTACTTGAGATTCTTGCGGAGGAAAAGATGGCAGACAACTTGCACCTGCTATGGGTTTCCAATTAGGGGGTTGGGGTGGGGGTGGGCAGAAAGGAGGGGGAGGAGGAAGATGGGAAAACTTAGGCTTTGGCCTGGTCAGTGGCCCATAAAATCCTGCTGTGACCATATGCAGAAAGCTGAAACTTTCTGCTGAGAGCGTTTCAGCTTATACATGCATTTTTTCCAGATGTGTAATAATTGGCAGAACAGTTTTCTCCTTGAAATGGTGAATAGGGAGATTGAATGGGAAAAGCAGTCAAGAAGGACTGAATTTCAAGTGTTCTGGTCTGGAAAAGCTGTTTATTGTAAATTGGAACTAGTCTTCAATAGCAGATGCTGGCAAAGGACTGGGAGGAAGCTGTTGGAATGTGGAACCATAGTGTGCGCAGGCTCAAAATTTAAACTTGTTTTTAAAAGAAAAGGAGTTTGAGCACAGCTGTAGCGTAAGTAACAATGAAGGGGAAACAACTTTTAGATTAATCCCCAAGTAGAGTGAAATAATTCAATCCGTCTCTTTTAGTTTCTTTAAAAATGTGAACTTTTCTGAAAAAAATGTAGTTGACCTTTTTGTAGATCAAAATATGTTAAAAGACTTGCACTGTAAAGGAAGTCTATTTGTGGCATTGCTCACTTCCCTTTTTCTTCCTTTTCATTCCTCCCTTCTCAAAAATGCTTAAAGGAAAAAGAGCTTTTTAAAACATGCTTATTTTAATGGTGCCATGTGTTTGCATGTTTCCAGCGTAATTTTAAAGACCAGTTACATGCTGTGAAATTTTCTGTTATAAAACAGATTCACAGCTGGGTACTGTGTGATCAAGGCAAAATTTCACCTATCATCAAAATAATTAGGTACCCCAATTGCTGAAGGGTTTCTATTCTATAAAACTGAATTAGTTCCAGGCTCTCCCGTTTGCACGTCACACATCCATTTATATTAATTTCAGAACCAGTGCAGTAAACATCAAAAAGAACTGGTTACTTTCTGTAAGCTGCGTGTGTCTGGGGGCTTTTGGGGAGGGGGGGTACTTTCCAAATGCATATCCAACTTCAGGTTTCTATACAGTTTCACAGTTACTTTTAGTAATGAAGGAAGTGATGCATAAATACTTCAGAATGTTTTTAATACTGCCTCATATTTAATATTTAAAGAATGTCGTTAAAGAGTTTTACAGTGTTCTGGGGTAGACTGAAATTTAGTCAGACAAAAGAAAACTTTTTTTCCCCAGGTCTTAATGATGTGGGGTAAAGTGAGTGGGTGAGATTGCAGTGACAAAATCGTCCCCTGTCTGACTTGCAGAACCTTCTGATACTGCTAAGCCAGACACAGTCAAATGCAGATAGTGCTGAAATGTACATAAAAATCTTATTTCTCTTTTAAACTAAGCTATGATATATATTTTATCAACTCGGTTTTGATTAAAAGAGGGGATGGTGGGAAATGACTCTCCAAAATGAACGAAGGTTTCTTGGTCTCTTGTAGTTTGATGTAGTCGTGTAACTTCAATGTAATATAGACTTGATTTACCATTTAATGATTGATCTGCGGTTTTGATTGAAGGATGCTTGCTGTCTGGTAGAAATAAACTCAGGTTAGGAACATGAAAAAAAGATTTGCTTTTATATTTCGTTCTCACTGGGTGAAACAAGCTTGCAGATCAGTTTTGGCTTGAAAAGTGAGTCAGCTGAAGAATTTCTTGGATTAACCTTATTTTTGTTACATCAGAATAATTGGCTTCAGCAGAAGGCATCCTGTCGTGGCCTTGCCCAGTCCCCACAGCGTGCCCTTTGACATCATTTGCAGTCGAGGGAACTCAGTGTGGCTTAGGATGGAGTCCTGAAACGTGTACAGAGCAGAGGTTGGCACATCTGGCCGTAGTGAAACCAAGTGGTTTATTAGTGATGACTGCGTTTCAGTAACGCCACCTGAGAATGAGGTGCAATTCTTCCAGTATTCGATAACCAATTTCAAACTATACTTACTTACTATTTGTTTTTCTTGAAATAGTGAATGTAGGAGAGTAGAGAATTTGACACACAACCTGGACTATAAGATCTAGACTTCGTTCAGGAATTAAATACTACTTTACTTTAGAGGGCCTCTAATAAATTTTAAGAAAATAATGAGTATTGGCTAACGTAGTGAGAAATATCAACATTGATAAGGGTGTTTGCCTATTTTTGTTTGACACACTCGTGGGATTTTTGGTCAAGAAATGTTCGTTGGGATTCAGCACTACATGAAACTTGTTGAGGGAGGGGGAGATCTTTATACAAAACATTTTTGTTCTTTAGGAAAGAAAATAGCAAAAAAAAACCCCCACTAAATTGAATTTCCCTTGAAGAAGATGATGTTGGCAGAAGGAGCTAGGAAATGAGTAATTTAACTCCTTTTTATGTAATTAGTGTAACCAGACATGGTTTTATTTTAACATTTGCTTAATTTTTGAGCCAGATTTATTTTAAAACTCTAGTTGACTTCATTTCCTGCCCGCTCTGAATGGTCTTGTTTTCTTTTTAGCTGGGCTGGCCATTAGATTTATTCAAATAGATTTTTAATATCTCAAACTCATCAAATATTTGCTAAGTAGCCTTTGAAGTCGATTTGTATTTTATTTCATGTATTATTGAGAAGTTAAGAAGTAATACTCTTTTTGTTGTTATTCAAGCTGCTTTTTATTTGTCATTGTAATACAATGGAAAAAGAACAGCCTGAATTGATTAAAAATAAATAAATAAAAGGCCTGGAAACTTAGTTAAGGATGAAACCCAATCCTTAAGTCACAGGGTTGTTTCCAGGTATAACAGGAATCGAAGAGAATGGGTGATCCTCCTCCTACCCCGTGCCTGCTGTGGTATAAAAGCAGGGAAGGGCAGTTTAAGCTGCTCTGCCAGCACCACCCTCTGTTCTTGCTCAAAGCCCTTCCAGCGATGACTTTTCTGCCCAGAAATTACGCTCCCGCTGAATGACTTTGAGCTGTCTGAAGTGTAAAAATCTTGGTTCCGAAGCACTTTTCATCATCTCAATTGTGCTCACCTTAGTTAAAATGATGTTAATGACCACGGCCAAATTGACTGGCTAGCGTGGCTTGAAAAGTGCGTGGTTTTTTTAAATATGATTAGGTGAGTCCTAAAGCAAATATGGACAAAGACTGAATTAATTTTTTTCCCGTTCTCAAAAGCTTTTGTCGCTCAGAGTACAGAATGAATGGTGAAACTGCAGCTGGGATGCAGAACCCGCGTGAACGGGACAAGGTGGTCCTTCCCCTGCGTGTCACTCTGGGTTCTCCTGCCTGCTGTACTGCGTCCTCTGTTGCCGTGTTTGCTCTAGTTTTCATTCAGTTGCCAAAACAGCTTAGCTGGTTTTCTGGTTTCAGATCCCAAATGTTATCACTTAAATCAACTGGAGTAAGTTCTGCACTCGTTTTTTTTAAAACGCACCAGTCCGAGTGTGGCTGCAGCATGTCCTCTGTGGAAATCTTTCTCGAAATGCACAAAAATAAATACAGTTCAGCTGGTAAATGACACTGCCTTACAGCCTCTCGTGCAGGACTGATGGTTTGCTCAAACTGGTTTACTGATCTGTACCTACTTCGATTTGCCGAGACCCCCGAGTATGTGTTAGATTGTCATTGTACAGAGAAAATAGGCAAAGGTGAGTGATTTAAATACGTATTTAACGATTGCGGTGTCAGTGCTGATCGCGTCTCAGATTGTTCTAGAATGTTTTGCCTTTGCAACTGCAAACGGTGAGGTTCACGCCGTGCGCGAGGTGAGGCTCAGCCGTGCGTTTGCCTTCCATTTCGTGTGCCGAGGAGCGCTCGGGGGCGTCGAGAACGAGGCCGGAGGGTTAACGAACTGCCGGTTTGGTTCCCCGCGGCGCTGACTCCCGCCGGGCGGCGTTGGCGGGGCGGAGGGCGGTGCAACGGGGCCGA